ATAATTTCCACAAGTTGTTACTTTTTTATTTATTCACCTACCTAATTAAGTGTAATCTCGAAATCTTTTTAAGTTACAGTCCTTATTCAATAAAGACTCTAAAATAAAAAGACTAAATACCTATTGAAGTTATTCACAGATATTATTTTTTCATAAGAATTATTATTTGTGTAGGTTTTTTTTTGTTATTACTTTCTTCTCCCTAGGCTATTATAATATCTTGTTTAATTATAATTTTTTTACATTACCCCCACACTAGGACTTTCTCCTGTATCGTGGAGGCAGTTTTTATATACATAAATTGTACAAGAATAAACATCCAGACCCGGAACAATTACTTGTAGGCCATACAAATACTTGTGCCGTGCGGGACTCGAACCCGCGGCCCTCAGCGCTATAACTCATTGCATTGCTGAGTTACTGCGCCACGTAGCCGTCAAATTTTATCGATATACATATATGTATATCGATAAAATCTGCAACATCTCATAACAACAAACCACAACTACAGCAGTATGCGTATGCCCCTGCCTCCCGACCCGTATCGTGCGATAGAGAGAGTTGCAAGAGTTACAAGTCTTGTAAGCAATTGCCTACATTTCTTTATTGAAATATTGTTTCGGGCGATAACATTTTTACCCCAATTATGCGTTTTGCTGCTACCTCTTGGCAGTGGTCATCATCATTACAGCCCTTCACAAGTCCACTGCTGAACATAGGCCTCCCCCAAGTAATGCCACAAAGCACGGTCCTGAGCCACCTGCATCCATCGATTTCCTGCATGTCTTTCCAGTGTTGCCAACATTAAAATGTAGCTCCCATTGTAGAGAACACTATAATCCCGTCTAGTACGGTAGACAAGTGTCAATCACTCATTGTATTGCACATTTTTTCGTATTTTTTAAACTAAAAAAAATTAATAATTTAATTTTTGATAATTTTATTTCGAAAACAAATCTAAAAAAAAAAATTTTTTTTGTTGTCCCGTTAAAAATCCGTTAGCCGTTAAACACAATTTTTTCCCGTTGCCAACCTCGCTGTCCCGTCAAATCTAACGTGAAACCCGTCAAGTTGGCAGCACTGCCTCTTGCTTTTTATATTTCGTGAAAATATCTTGTGTGTACATTAGATATTTTCACGAAATATAGCGAAGTATATAAATTTTTTTACTAATCTTGGAATTTTTAACCTCTATTTTGTAAATAATCTTATTGACCGACTGCAAAAAAGGGGTTCTTAATTCGGCTATAATATGTCCTTCATTTTAAAGCGAATTCGGTGATTCTTTTTACTTTCCCGCCATGAAAATAATTGATTATCAAGTAAATTGGGAAGTTATTCGTCATTCAATTCTGCAGGGTCAAGCCTTTTTCAGGTTTTTTATATATTTCAGAGGTGGTCATGGGACCACCCCTGAAAACTACTACTAGAAATACTAGCGTCATCTATAGGACTAATTTTAACTACGATATAATCAATGTGATTGATGTGGGCTTTCTAAAAGACGCATTCTTGTAAGAGCATTTAGGTTAAAATAAAATAAAAATACTTTCATTTTACAAATGAACATTTATTGCGATATCGTATAAGTTTGACGAACTAATCATATGCAATAGTAATAAAATATTTTTATGAACATGAATATAATGTGGGATTATCGGATTTTATTGAAAAAAACTATTAAAACTTTTAAAGTTCTGATGATACTCGAAATAAGATTAATTAAAGTGCGTTATTGCTAGAAATATGTATATATTTATTTTTACGTGGTAGAGCCATGTAGCAGCTATATTAGTAGTATAAATGTAGCACGAATGGGTCGGATCGACCGGGGAAGGACCACGTTCTCCCAGAATACCAATGTAACAGCGCTGTATGGTGTGTGTAGAGAACCGGAGACACGTTTTACTGGAAACGAGGCATTCTATCTTACTCCTCACGGTGTCACCCATGAAACATCACATTTTGTTCAGTCAACTTGTAATTAGCCGGTACATTCTCCCATCTCATCCGTTTCCCTTCCGCACGGGCCTGAAAGAGGGGGCTTAAATATGTGGCGTCATTTTTGCGTCCAATGGAAGGAGCGCTCTGCTTAGATGGAAGTGGAGACGGCCGAGGAGGTAAAAGAACGTGCGCTGCCGCCGCTCGTCCAGTTGCAACGTAGTGCCACCAACCTCAAGACCTGAGTAAAAGGCAGTCGAGGGAGCCACCCCGGTGAGTGCTCTTCTATAGATATTGAGCTGTTTTTTTCCGTTGTGTTTTTCACTGACAGCTCACGTATTGTTCCCGTAGTACCGGCTAGATATATTAAATCGAGTCTCTGCAAGTGCACACTACATCCACCATTTTGTTTATTGGTTATAACTAACTACGTATATACAGTCCACTTCCTTCATTCGCACATGGAAATTTCGGAGTCATTATTCCCGGAATCGAGCCCTGTGGCCGCACCATTTTGTGGTTCCTTCGCTCCGGATACGATGGGCAACCTAGTGACCCTAACCATTTTGTGCTCATCCGTTTCATCGGATTCGCACCCGGGAACTCTATAACCGCACCATTTTGTGGCACTTCATTCCGGGTGTAAAATTAGCAACCATTAGTGCCACCACCATACTATATAGAGTTTACCATAGTTGCCACGCTTGACAGGCGGGTTGGCGACCGCAGTTTTTATAATTTTTAGTTATTATCGGTGAGATGTTGCTGTCCAATGTCATTTGCCACTTACGACACCCACAGGACGATTTGTTGTAGATCAAAGACATTTAAGTACGTAGTAGTAATAGACCGGACATCAGCAACAAAATTGTCATCTGTAACGTTTGTCCTATAGGATATATCTTCGATTTTTGTCATTTAGTCTTAGTGACATCGTCAAAAGGTCAAGACGTATTCGTTTCATAGATTTAAAAAATATTTTCAAAGAAAATATGCCCGGTTGTGCATTAAGGTATAGTAAGTCACGATATGGAACATAAAATGAACATGATTTCGGTTTATTAATGTATATTTACCAATTAATATTTAAATTTTATTATTTTTGGTAGATTGTTCTAGAAGAAAGAAAAATTATTTTAATAAGTGCTCTCTGTTATCCAGTAACGTCACTATTTATTTATAAGTATACTAACATATTTTTTGACATTTGTGCCTAAAACCGATTTTTACATTGTATTTAGAAGCGTCACCTAAAACATTTTCCAAATAAATATTCAGGGTAGTATTGCTATTTTTCGCTAGAAGGCTTAACACACGCGCGTGTTTACAGTTTTTGTATGCAAATGTTCCCAATGTCCGCACTATAGTATATATATTTTTAAATCTCTTTGTTGTAGATATTCTTACATCGCCACTACACGGTTAACACGGTAAATAGAGTTTTTAATGTAACTATACTTATTGATTTCTAAGAACTTAAAAGAATTAAAAGTCACATTCACATTCACAGGTATGCTGCAGTTATACTATAGCTGTACTACGATTGGGTCGGCTCGACCGGGGCAGGACCACGCTCTCACAGAATACCAGCGTAAAATAGCAGCGTAATGCTGCTGTGTTTCGTATGGTGAGTGTAGAGAATCGGAGACCCTTTTTACTGGAATCGAGGCATTCCATCTTAGTACTCAGGGTTGACAATTCATTTGCATTTTGATTCTTAATTGAGGATAAATGTGGATGTCTATGGGCCACAGTATCCTTTCACAATAAGGTGGACTGTGTGTTCGTTTGTCACCCAATGCTATAAAAGAAAATTCTCTTTCTCGGGCTTTATTTCTTTTATACACAATGTCTTAGGATAGACTACAGAAAATTAAAAAACTTTGAAGTCAGTTTTTACTTTGTAATAAAAGTTATTTTTTAAAACAACATTTCTAACAAATAAATCAAAGGTACTAAAAGCCGCCTTAAAAATTAATTCACTTTTGAAACATAATTAAGTGATTTATTTTTAAACTGTGTATTGAAAAAAATTACATACCAGTTTTTCATATCATATCCGATTCTGAGCCATATTCAAAATTTCATATCTTTAGCTCATGAGGAAAATTAGCTTAAAACGAATTACTAAATTCCACCCAAACATACATACATGAAAGCGAGTTAGTAGAAACGCGGTAAAAATACAATATTTAAAAAAACTTATTGTTAAAATGTTACAGTATCTGTAGTTTAGATTGATGTGAAATAATTTTTAACCTTGTTTTACGTCACAATAAAGATATAATTGCTTTTTTCCACCTATACAAAATAAACGATGTTGCGGCACAAACTGAAGAACGAGAAGCATGGTTTCTTACGCATGATGTGGGTAGCCATGTATATTTACAATAAGTTGAGTATGGTTTTACGAACTTGAAATGTACATAATGTTCTGTCTAAATTTTATTTGGTATATAATATATGCAGCAGACCTATCTAAGCCTTCTTAATAAAAATACCGTTATAGCTACGGTTACAGTCAATTAAAGTCCACTGCTGAATATAGACTTCTATTATACATTGCCTCATAATAGGACATTTGCCATAGTTGCCACGCTTGGCAAGCACGTTGGCAACCGCAGTTTTTTATATTAGTCGTTATTAGAAAGATGCTGCAGGATGACAAGGGCTAGTGGATATTTTAACATTGGCACTAATAATAATAATGTCCTCCATACCGAATTTCGGCCACGGAGGCCTGCCTCAACGGAGACTAGGCATCGGCACAGGGCAGGATTACAGTGCCCAAGTGTATGCGCAAGCACAGGCGCACTCTCTATTCCCTCACTCTCATAACCCGGTGGGACGGTAAACCGACACGACCGGAGAGAGATCAGGCGCAGGACCAACGGCTTTATGTGCTTTCCGAGGCACGGGGGTGAGACCGCTAACTTTCTGACTCCGAGCAACTACTGAGAATTTCTTGATGGAAAAACATCAGCAGTTGCACTACTACAACCACTAAGCCAACATTGCCACTACATTGTGTATAAAAAAAAATTAACTACAATACTCACTGGCTATTGTGTCCTCTACTGACAACGCTACCACTGTCATCCCGTGAATGCTGGTTGTAGTTGCGCTCCTTCATATCTCTTGTTTTTCCCACTTGTTTCCTCTAAAAGAGAACATATAATAAAACTTTAAAACCATAAACAAAATTAAAATGGTACGCGCTATATATATGACCTTTTTTACCGTCTGGAAAAATAGGGTGTAACATGAACGAAGTAAAAGCCTATGGCACTGATATTTTACGAAATATAAAAACAAAGATTTTGAATTAATTAGATAAATTAATTAAAATCTATCGAAATTCAAATGATATCCACCGCCACCTTAATTTACGAACGGCAATAAAACAATAAATTTAGTGGGCATCTTTGACCTTGTTACTTCGCAGGGTCAGAGGCTAGGGTGGATATGATTGCCGATGCGTTGCCGGCCTTTTAGAAAGGAGTAAGCTCTTTCCTTGAATGTCCCTAAGCCGTATCGGTCCTGAAAAGTCGCCGGTGGTAAACAATTCCACAGAGAAGTTGTACGAGGAAGAAAACTCCTAGTAAAATGCACAGTGGTATACCGCCAAGCATCCAGATGGTGAGGATGGTATCGTGAATTTTGACGCAATGTGCGTTCGTGAAATTTGGCGGCTGAAACTAATCTGAACAATTCCTCAGAACACTCCCAATGGTAGATACAATAAAAAACGCAAAGGGATGCAACATCCCTCTACGTCCCCCGCTACAAACCACCGACAAAAAGACTCGACTTTAAACGCAAGTTTGTCACGGTACTAAGCGACGATTTCCCGAGAAATATTGGCACGGCCGGTGTATAAGGCATCACCAGTGTTGTCGTCTGCATAGCAATGAATGTTACAAGCTTGCAACACAAAGAGAGAGCCAAAAAGATCGGCTTTCTCCTTTGCGGTATGGGCCAGTGAGTCGTCCTCTCTGTGCAGAGATGGCTGACAGAAGTTTCCTTGGACAGCTTTGGCGAGAGACCAGAATGTACGGGTTCCAAAAGAAAGGCGAACTAGTTTCTCGCCAATTCTGCCTATGTGCTCTGACTTTGCCTTGGAAATGACTCTTTTGAAGGACCTGAAGGCGGAATTATACTTTTTTTTAAAGCACTGGTGTTTCCATCCCGGGACGTTGATGCGTCAGCCCAGGCTTGGTAGCACTCCTGCTTATAGCATGATGCAATACAGGAGCGACCAAACCATGGCTGGGGATCTGCCTCCACAGAGAATGGAATAAAAATTCCATACCCTGAAGTACAATATCAGCGACAGAATCAGCAACAACGCCAGGATCGTCCGGCGAAAAACAAACCCGCCCCCAAGTGTAGTATGCAAAAAAGACTGCATCCCATTCCAATCGGCCGACCTATAGTGCCAAACAAGGCAGCAGCCTGCAGAATGCAACCGCGACATTAAGTTGACTGGCATCACATTACAGACAAGACAATGGTCCGACAAGCCTAACAGGGCATCCACGGAAACCTGATATCCGTACGGATGAGAGATCAGCAGACGGTCCAACAGGGAAGGTGTATGATCTTCCACATCTAAAATCCGCGTAGGCGCAGTAACCAGTTGTCAGACCATATGCCAAAGGAAAGTCATAAACAGATATCGCCGCATGATCGGTGATGAACCGAGCCATTCGACATGGTGGGCGTAAAAATCGTCAAAGATCACAAACTCTGCGGATGGGATCTGCTGTAGCACGGAATTTGTTGCCATTTGGACATGGTCGATGAGTTGGTCTGTATCGATATTACCGCTATGGGACCTATAGAAGTACCAATAGACGCAGGAATGGACTTCGCTGTCTATGTGCAGCCATAGGATAGACAGGTTCGTACCTTCAAGACTGCCAAGGCGTCGAAAACAGATGTCTTCTTTGACGTATACGCAAACTCCAGCCCAGGGCACAAAGGAATGTTCTAATTTGTACCCCGAGTGGGAGTGATATGAAGTATCAGCTGGAGAGGACACCCGAGTCTCGGTTAAAAAGAGCAAGGCCGGCTTCACTGTCTCCAGATGGTAGTAGACAGCATTAAGGTTGGAATGAATGAATAATGTTGCAAAATTTCACAAACAGTGTGGCAATGGTCGGCTTGGTGTTAATACCCCGCTTGCCCCGAGCAGTTATTATCGCGAGCGGAATTGCACCCCTACTCAGAATACACAGGGCAGCCGGAGCACCCACGCTCAGGAAGGGTAGGATAATTTGGTTGTGGATGCTCAGCGAGGGATTCTCCGTCACCAGGGGTGCTGGTACCCTCCTGGGGTAGTTCTTCACTTAATTCCGCTACCATGTTAAGAGGGGGGGGGGCGGGGAAATTGAGCCTCCAGCCACCTGCACTCACCAGGCGAAACGCACAGGTAAATCTCTACTTCACGCTGGTATTCTATAAGGTCGTGGTACCACTCCGGTTTCAGCCGGCCCATCCGTGCGACAGCAAAAGCTGCCGCGTAGATCTACCACTGTTAAGTGTGGTTAAATTTTGATAGATTTTAATTAATTTATTTATTTGATTCAAAACTTTTGTTTTTATTTCTTGTGATGTTTATTGGATTGGACGGATGGATTTAGACATTCTTACTTTTTATTCTAATATACATACCTTATGTGCTACATTCACATACAATTTGAGCGGCTCAGTTCTGTTAAGCTTCATCATTGCAAGTTTGGCTTCGCTGAAACAAGAGACATAGTTTAAGCATTTCATTTAATTTCAACATTATTTATATCTATATGTCTACATTCTACAGGTATAAAAATATATTGTTTGTCTGTAAAGTTAACATAACTGGCTTTCTGTTAAAGCTCAGTGGGCTTTTTACTGTTGTGATGAGACTAAAAATAACAATATCCTCCGGACCAAATTTTAGTCACATCGACCAGTCTCAATGGAGACTAGCCACCTACACAGGACTTCTCTTATAATCATGGGTGTGTTCAAGCACAGGTGCATTGTCAATTGACTTGCTCTCATAGTCCAATGGAATGGCAATCTGACACGAATGAAGAGAATTCAGGCACAGGACCAATGGCTTCACATGCTTTCCGAGGCACAGAGGTGACAAACTTCTAGACTCCCAACTGCTTAGGGATTTCTTCTCAGAAAAACTCAACAACTGATTCTGAACCGACACGGGATTCAAACCGGGGACCTTACGATCAGCAACTGTGATTGCAATCACTACACCCATGAGGCAGTCTTTACAAACAGATAGATGAGACTTTACGAATAGATAGAGAGTGATTCTAAGTACGATTTAGGCTATATTTATTTATCTGAGTAACTTCAGGACATTTTTTTCAAAACAACAAAAAATTGATTAAATTAATATAAATATTCTTACACTGCCACTAAACGGTAATTATCTTACATGGCATAAGCAAACTGTAATAGACTACTAAGAATTACTACTTACCCAGGAGTCTCATATGATATCAATCCATAACGTTTTTGTGTATCCTTACTGAGGAAGGATTCGATGAGTGTTCCGTACTTGGCAAAAGCTGTTCGCAGACCCTCTTCATTTAGGGTTTTTGGAATGTTTGTGATATAAAGGCGACAATGATCCAGGTTGACACCACCACTGTTACAAACAAAACAAAAATAATAAATGAACACAGAAAATACAAGTAATAAATGAAATAACCCAGTACAAAATATGAACTATGTATACATAGGACTATATAGAATTTTAAGCATAGATGCCACGCATAGTAGGCGTGTTGAGACTGCAGTTTCTTATAATTTCGAATTTTAATAAGAAAAATGCTGCTGCCCACCTCCTGTTTCCGTTTCCCTGTATCGCCTCTTACGACACCTAAGGGGGATGATATGGGGAGGTGGATATTCTTACACTGCCACTTTAGTTATTAAGAATAAGCAAACCGGTGAAAATAACATCAAAGACTGTAACGATATACAGATTTTCAAAAATAAATTGTTGCACTTTCTAATGATTATAAATGACATAATAAATTGTACATAATATAATAACATTTATGAATAACCTAATCTTACATGAATAATCTAATCCAATGTTACTAATAATATTTAAGATGAATGGTTTAGTCTAATAATTTAATCTATTATTACGAATATGTAATCTATGAACTACAAATGATGTGACATTTGTATGCCCATGAGGCTGATCACTGACTAAACTTTATTTGTATTTAATTAAGACCTTTTTGTAACCTGTGAATCACATCACAAAAACAATTATTTGAAAAAAACCATATCAATGTTTTTTGTTTATATTATGGATTTTTTCCTGTATCATGGAAGCAGTTTACAAACATAAATTACACAGACAAATATCCAGACCTGCAACAATCATTTGTAGGCCACACAAATATTTATAGAATCCGTGACCCTCACTGCAACAATTTAATACTAAGCCACGGCACCACCAAGCCACCAATTGAGAATGGCAATTCACCAGCCTCTTTTAAGTTGGCCGCAGGAGACCTTTGACAATATTCTCAAGCTAACAACCGTACCACCCAGTACCAGGCAGCTGGGGTGGGACAGAGCTGTTACTTCTATTAATGCTGGTAATCCTTCTCCTTGTTTGTGGTTGAGCAAGGTGAACAGCAGTCATTACATCCTATCAAAAGTCCATAGTTAAACACATGCATGTAGTTGTGTTACAATTTGTCAGCAATGACTCTGGAACCGCAACGGAATGTTGCTTTGCATGATAAAGTAAAAACAATTTTATTTTGATAACTTTATTGTTGTTGTAAATATGTGTTTTTCGTATTGCTGTTGTAAATATTTGTGTATTGTTACGTTCGGGATGCATATGACCTATCCATCCACCATATTTCCCTCTGTCGCTACCACAAATGGTATGATATGGGTGGAAAAAAAATTATGCCTGAAATAAAACACAAACAAAAGTCAGCTAAAATGGTATTAAGGGATAACGATTCTCAAGCCTTTGCCTCAAATTTACAAGTTTAAAGTAAGTACCTTATTAAATTAAAGATGGCCAGTGAGACAGGCAGAAAGTTCACAGTTGCAACATGAAAGACTATGCTTTGCAGACCTTGGAGGGGCCTATGTTTATCTTATAATAGGCTGTGTCTAGAACCTATACCTTATACCTTTTTATATCGAAGATATACTTATAGAAAAAAGTACAATGTTACTCAGCAAAATACCATCAACATCATCATCATTACAGCCCTTCACAAGTCCACTGCTAAACATAGGCCTCCCCCAAAGTATGCCATAAAGCACAGTCTTGAGCCATCTGCATCCATCGACTTCCTGCATGTCTTACAAGGTCGTCACTCATCTATGGTCGCTATGGTAAACGACCCCCCATGAGCAAAATCCCATATACAAATAAAATTCCAAACAATTACCCAGCATTGTCATCAGGGTATTGCGGGTCAAACGTAGATTCGTTGAAGTCATCTCTCATTGGATCCCAATCTTGATTATGATTGTTCCAAGTCCTGTTAGCCATTGAACTGTAACAACATAAATTTTGTGTATAGCTATATATCACATTCAACATAAAATTTGTTGAATGTGATATATAGCTATATCACATTCAACAAATTTTGAAACAAAAGATAAACAGAAATGTATCTTCATCCATGTAGTGGCAGCATACGATCACTACTTCATATCATACCATGGGTGTCGTAAGAGACAACGGAAATTTAACAGGAGATGCTTCCCGATAACAACTCAAAATAATAAAAACTGCATTTTGGTAACCCATCTGCTAAGGACTTATGGTGACTACTCCACTATAATGCAATGTATGGAGTTGGCCTATACTTCGGTAGTTTGCGACGGGCTATTCTCCGCAACTCCACATCTAAGCGCTTATTTTGTGTGTGGGCAGAAATAATGTGATTATTCAAGCCATGAAATCTCCCTGAAGAAGTTCAACAGTCCTTTGATGTTGCAAGCAACTTCAGGGAGCGATCCTGGTGTGCCGAGATGTTTAGCCTCTGAACAAGTCAGCAACACATAATCCACCATTTCTCCTAATAAATAAATAAAAAAATTCACTGCTATCAGATAATTCCATTGTTACCATTATAGCTTATCAAAAATCTACTGTTGTACAAATCATCTCAAAAGATTGACTTATAGCGAGTATATGTGCCATAGTTGCCACCCTCGGCAGGCGAGTTGACATCTGCGATTTTTAAAAATTTAAGATACTGCTGCCCATCTCCTTATTTGTCTTCCTATCACCTCTTATAACACCAAAAGGACGGCTCCTCATTTACACTGCCACTTTTAAGCTATTGCATAGCTTCTATCGCGGGCCTTGAGCGCGGGGACCGAATCCAGAAATTCCGTAACGAAAAAACCTCACGCTCCCCACTCCGACGGGCACGGAGATGTGGCGTTGAAAGCCGTGCATCGTCTAACGTCGTTTCAGTTCGGCAGACTTCGGCACGGTGTCTGTGTGCGTGCGACTAGACGTATGCGTGTACACTAGCTGCTAACTCAATGATAAAAATTCCTGAATAACCTACATGTATTGTAAGATATTAAAAATATTTTAAACAATATTAACTTCTCATTTATTCAATAAGAGAAAAAAAATTGTTTTCTTATCGGTCACCACGCTCAAAAAGTGTAACTTGATTTAATATCAAAGACTTAACTGCATAAATAAAATAAATAAATAATTATAATTGCATAAGTTGATAAAAAATGCTATGCAATAGCTTTACCGCGGCAGTCACCGAGTGCCACACGTATTTTTTTTTTATAGGATAAGGGAGACAAAAGAGCACACAGTCCACCTGATGGTAAGTAGATGATGTGGCTCATAGACATACATTTAACCTCGATTAAGAATCAAAATGCAGATGCATTGTCACCCTTGAGGACTAAGATGGAATGCCTTGTGAGTGTAGAGAATCGGAGACCTCTACACTCACTCAGGAGATTCTCTACACTCACCATATGAAACACAGCAACATTAAGCTGCTATTTTACGCTCTGTGAGAGTGTGGTCCTACCCCGGTCAACCCAACCCATTCATGCTACAACCATAATAGAGTTGCAGCATGGCTCCACCATGTTTGAAACTGCACTGCACAGTCTCATTCCATTGTTAAGGACTGTCAGTTACACATAATACAATAGAAATAATTTATGTTCAGGTACAAGTTGTAACACAAAATTTCATGCTGAAGTGAAGAGGATATAGTTGTATCATGTGATTAAGAAGTAAAAGAACTTATCATCTTACATTGTCTTAAAAACTGAACAACTGAAATCTGACCTCTAATGTTGATATGAATTAAGTAGTAAGCGGCAGCAGTTTAGCACATATTGTGCCATTTCACATATATTTAAAAGAAACAAAATCTAAATACTGACCGTAATTCAGAACAGTATTTACCATAAGAATATAAATTTAATTTAGATCAAGATCCTTCTCTAGAGTGAATGGGGCACTACACTCTATTATGAAGAACCAGAATTTGTCAAAACAGGCACGTATGGTAATTCATAATGCTGTGTTAGTCCCTACTTTAATGTATGGTAGTGAAAGCTGGGTGTGGCAGAAGAAGCACGAAAGTAGAATAAATGCTGTAGAAATGCGGTCTTTAAGGAATATGCTAGGGTGTAATCTGATTGACAGGGTGAGAAATTGCGTGATAAGAGATAAATGTGGTATGCAAGATGATGTTATGACCAGGATTAAGAAAGGAATGCTTCGGTGGTTTGGTCACGTAGAAAGAATGAATGAGGAAAGAGTGACTAAGCAAATTTATATGGCAGATGTGAATGGCCGAGTCGGGAAGGGACGCCCTAGGAAAAAGTTTATCGACCAAATTGGCGATATTTTGAAAATGGGCCACGTTAGAAGTACCCTTAACCGACGAGCATGTATGCATAGATATATGGATGTAAAGGAGGCGAAAGAGGTATGTCAGGATCGTGCCAAATGGAAGTCCGTAGTCTCTGCTTACCCCTCTGGGTGACAGGCGTAAGTGTTTATGTATCCTTCTCTAATTGCTTAGCTCCTCTTTTATAATGTTTATTATACTTAAAAAAAAATTTTACATAAAATTTTGAAGTGTTAAATGAACTTAGTCGCTGACACCTGCAACCAACATCGAATAAAAAAAACTACATATACATTATCACCTCTGAGGACTATATGAATATATATGTCAGACTATATGGAATGCCTCTCAGCCTGTAATTATACTGGCGCACTAGTTTTAAGCCTGGAACATATAAGTGCATGCGATGCGGTTTGGCGGCGGAAAGGAAGGCAGTGTGTGGAACCTACCCAGACTTAAAGAGGGGAGAACTCTAAAGAGGAGCTGAGCAATAAGAGGAATGTCTTGATCTGTACTAATACATACATTTTAATGCTAAAATCGTACTGAAAAAGTCGGTTAGTGTTGCATGGAAATAAGCTACATTGACAAAAAAAGTCGAGATTATCGATAGCGACTAACATTAAAACGCTTTCTTATAGAAGAAAGCTTTATAGAAATCGTCCATAAAAGTCGTCCTCACTATTGTACTTATCATACCTGGTCTTTTCTTTGTAATAAATGGTTACCATATTATTATTACCTAGTGCAAAAACCAGTATTTTGAAATAACGCTTTGACACACGTGCGATTTAAACTTGAATGACTATATACAACTAACAATAGGATTAGGTATACAAAATCTATGAATTACAAAGATTATTTAGACTTACTTTAATAATCGGAATAAAGTCTACAAACAATAAAACACCGGCAAATCAAAGAAACAAATTCCAAAATGCGTTATATGTTCACTTCGCTCCGTCTAGTCAGTCCCACAGAGTACCTTTGTATAAATAAGTCCATAGATAAGAGTGTATACCACAGAACACTATTACTCCTATCGGAGAAGAACGACAACTTCATACAAAATCTAAGAAATGAGATATATAACCACTAGCGCCATCTATCGTCAGCCTCCTGCACTTCTCGTGTGGCGGGAAAATTTGAATGTGTATGGTTGGTTGAATGTGGTGGTGAATGGTGTATACTGTACTGTATAATATAAGGAAATGTCAGTCCACTAGGCATGAGACCGATATATCAAAACATAACTAATAACGTTATGTTATCAAAATATCATATCATATCGATACACCTAAGTATATAACCGATATCACATATCTAAACAAAACCAAAAACCCAAAACGTTCGAATGTTACGAAACGTAAGACGAAAACTGGAACGATAACGATATGCCCACACGACCCACCAATCTAACCGATGACCTTCGTTGATATTCGTTGTTTCTCGTTTAGCGACGGTGTCATAAATACGTATAGAAAGAGATGTAGCGAATATGGATTTCGTTGCAATGTTTTGGTAGTTTTCATACACGGTGCAAAATGGACATAGTGGATAAAATTACCTAAAGCAATAACGAAACTTACGATATTACAATAAAGTACGGAATCGCTGCAATACATTGTGTAGGGATGCACAAAGACGGCATATTCACAAATCCGTCGAAAACGGCGACGCAGCCAAAGATTTGAAGTTTCTTCAGTCTCTTGGAGTTGGTAAAACATCCAATAATTCTCCTCATCATAATGTTGATGTTGAATTCCTTAACAAATATTTCACCTGTTCTAGCAGATTGGATAGCTCAGATAAAGACCGGACTCTGAGTATTCTTTCTTCAATACCAACTCCTGATTTTCCACCGTTTAATTTCTCTCCTTTCACTGATAGTGATGTTAAAAGGAACATTTTGTCCATCTCGTCCAATGCCGTGGGTGATGACAATGTTAGTCATAACATGATCTTACCTATCCTAGAATTTGTTAATCCTATCCTCACCCATATCTTTTATAAATCCATCCCCTCTTCAAAATTTCCTGATGTTTGAAAAAGTGCACTTGTAACGCCTCTCCCAAAAAAAGCTCATGCTTTGCATTTTTCCGATTTTCGTCCTATCTCAATTCTTCCGTTTTTATCCAAACTCCTGGAGAAACTAGTTTTCTTTCAGTTAAATCTCTACCTAAATAGAAATTGTATCCTGGATCCTCTCCAATCTGGTTTCCGATCGGGTCACGACAACAGCGTTGATTAAAGTTACCGATGACATTCGACGAGGTATGGATAACAAACAGCTCACTGTGTTGGTATTGCTTGATTTTAGCAATGCGTTTAACACTGTTGATTTTGACATCTTATTGAGTGTGTTACGATCTATTAACATATCTCCTCCGGTGATTGGCTGGTTTCATAGTTATCTTTATGGCCGACGGCAGCGTATTCGCATCGAAGATGAGTTCTCATCTTGGTGTCTCTCTGTCTCCTTTACTTTTTGCTATATTCATTAATTCTATCTCTCAAAATATTACTTCTCTCTATCACATATATGCAGACGATCTCCAAATCTATACTCAGTCAACTCTGTTAAATCTGCCTTCTGCTGTTGCCACCATCAACAATGACTTAGCGGCGATAAACCAGTGGAGTCAGCGTTATGGTCTAAAAATTAATCCGTTCAAGTCCCAGGCTATAGTTATTGGTGGTGGAGGGATGGTCTCCAGACTTGACTTGAACAACCTACCCTCTGTGACATTAAGTGACGTTGTCATACCCTACAGTAAATCTGTAAAAAATCTGGGGATATATCTAGATTCTACCTTGTCGTGGTCGCAGCAGTTAAAACAAGTGAGCAAAAAGGTGTTTGCTACTATGGGTTCACTTCGTCGTTTACGTTCTTTTCTTCCCATTCCCACAAAGATTATGTTAGCGCAATCCTTACTTCTCTCTATTCTCGATTATGCGGACGCAAGTTATCTCGATTTAACTGACGACCAACTCAACAAACTTGAGCGAATTCAAAATATTGCAATTAGGTTCATATTTGGTCTGCGCAAATATGATCATGTATCCGAATATCGTTTACAGCTCAAGTGGTTACCCATTCGCTTTCGCCTGCAAATTGTATCTCTTTTGTACTGTGTGTTGTTCAATCCTTTGACTCCAAGCTACTTGAAGGAAAACTTTAAGTTTCTTGGTCATGTTCGACCTGATAGAGTTCTTCGGTCAGCCGGCGAACTAATTCTAGAACCATGTTCATTTCGAACAAAATTTATAAAATATTCTTTTACGAGCCAAGCCATAAGGTTATAGAATGAACTTCCACTCCAAATTCAACGTGCAAAAACTTTGGAAAGTTTCAAAAGTGACGTGAAAAGAAGCATTACCTAACACTTTGTCGTTATTGATAACCAATTCTAGCAACAGATAGTTATTCTGTGTTTTTCTTTTTTGTTTTATATTTATTTATATTATCTATGTATATATATATATATTTATATATATATATATATATATATATATATATATATATATATTAATATGTATGTTTATTTTTTTATGTATTATTGTGGCATTTTAACAAAATATAGTTTAGTTTATTTAGATATTAGAATGTAAGTGTAACATAAAACGCACCACCTCCTACTGTTCTTAATTCCAGTTTCTCCTTAGCCCAAAGGTTGTCTGAGATCGCTCTTTAGCGATAAGACCGCCTTATTGTACATACGTATATATTAAGTTTTCTCTGTAATGTATTTATTCGTTGTATATGTGTGGTGTACAATAAAGTGTATACTACTACTACTAATACTACAATAAAGTCGAATTTCAAATGATTAAAATTGCCTAATTTTTAAGTTTGTGTAGTTGTGAGGGTTGTCAAATTTAAATGATCTTTAGGCTAATAGACACAAGACTTGGATTTGTATGGCCATATTATATTTGGTTTAGGCAACTTTATGTTTATGTTTTTTATGTTTTGGATGGAAAGTTTAGAATTTGATTTTTTTTCAAAATGCAACTATTACACACTTGGCCTTAATGGTGCATGTCGTTCGCTACGATAATAATATCTACAATATTATTAATTTTGACGTAGCGGTTGTGCATTTATTTACAATATTAAGACGTAGTGTTTAGCCCCACCACTTTTCGTCACACAAAAAGGTTATAGATCAGAAATCAGAATTTCAAAACCCTCCCGTAAAAAGTTTCGACCGTATAAATAAATAAATATTGAACTGATTCTACAGTTTGCGGTTATGTTTCGGTTGTCGTTTGCGCATTCAGTAGTAAATCGTTACTACTGATATCGATATCTGAAAACGGTTTTCAGTAACGATATCAAAACTAAATATCGTTTATGTAACCGTTGCAGCACGCTGTACTGGCACAAGCACAAGTACGCTGGGCTGGCTATACCATACAAAATGTCTGTGCCAATTTGAAGCACGCCTAACGGTCATCTTGGAAACTAAAATTGACATAATATGCCAAAGTCTGTTGTCTTATTTAAATCTTATCTCTGTATTTTGGACTTATAAACTAAAAAACTAAAAATTTTTTATGTGGTTTGATTGTGTATAATATTAAGAATTATTTTTAATAATGATGAGAGTGTGTGTAATCTGTAAAACTCGTTACCAAAAGGGAAGTAGTATAACATTTCAAAAGTAAGTGAATTTGCGGCTAATATTAAACAAATTAAAACTATTTCATAATATAAGTGCTTAAAACAATGATTTCAAAAGGATTGCGCTAGTAATATATAATTCAATGCTTAAAAATTTGTTACTAATCTTAATATCATATATACCAACCTTTTTGGCTGTATACTGATAAAAATAAAATTCAATAATTGTCGTTCTTGTCTAAATTATCGAGCTTTCCTCCCTATTACATACCCACCACAATAATTATCAAATTATTATTAATTAACAGGTTTTCAACTGAACCTAGACTAAAATTATGGCTTAAAAGCATAAATATTGTGAATTGGCGTACGAAATAAAATAATCATATTTGTTCTGAACATTTCACAGACGACTATTTTATTAGACATAAGAACTGCACCACTTTGAAAAAGTGCAGTATCCCGACAATATTTTCTGGTAGTACCAGTACTCGTAAGTAAAATAGTATCAGATTATTATTTCGAATGTTTATTTTATTTCTACTTTCCTCATTTTCCCACAAACTCAAAGGCTATAGCCAAGTGTCGAAAGGTCGCCTGATGATGTCGAGCCACGTTGATTGTGTGTTAGTGGGCTGCGGCTATGGAAGATTCCTCTCCGTGTACCACTGTAGTTGAGGTGGAGTCGTCAGTGAAGAGGAGTGTTGGTATGGCAGTTGGCAATACGGTGCCACTCGAATATCCTTCGCGACTTTAGTGAGGCTTCACCACTAAATTCTACAAAATTTCAAGGACAGGCGGGCTATGCCATGAAGGTTAGAGAACAGGAGAACGATCACTACGTACTAAAACATAGCCCACCTGTCCTTGAAAATTGTAGAATTTTTAGCAGCGCTGACGTCGGTGAGTGGTGACTGCGAAGTTAGCTGTTTATGAGTACAAGTAGATGAAGTTAGTTGAATAATGTATAAACTTTCTCACCAATGTGATAAAATTTTCATGCTCCGTAATTTTGTAATTTTTGACAAAAGAAACATTAAAAAATGGAGAAATATTTTACTGTGCGTGGATGTGCAAGTGTGCAAATAGACTGAAAAGAATGACCGAACTTAGCAATCGCAGCGTCTCACTCATGGTGTCCATATTTCTGGGACACTATTTTCTACGGCGATTGTTCTCCTGTTCTCTAAGCTCACAGCCGTAGACAGAGAAACCTATAGACAAATTGACGCCTTCTTTCGCATTCGCACACGAAAAAGATAGATTTATGCATACGTCTTGCATAGAAATGAGATAGAGATGTCTGATTGTTTGTCCCTTTCTCCGTGCCGGTTTTTTTTGTTTAGCAAACTCTACAGTTTGCTAAACAACTTTAACAGCGTAACCATTTAAGGAGTTTACAAGTTGGTTTAAGTGAGAAAAAAGTGTTTTGTGAGCTTAAGATTGGTGAATCTTGTTCAGTTCAGTTCTTAGAACAATTAAAATTTTTATCTAAATGTGTTTAAAAGTCATAAAGATTATTGTATAACCTAAAAATTCGTTATCGTCCTTTCTCACTCGAGGCCACGCCGATCATTAGTCTATAGGTTTCTCTGTCTACGCTCACAGCAGTCCACAGAGCAGTGTGACCATCTTTAAAATCCAAATCCTGCCTTACTTTGGTTAAAAACCTGCCAAATTCTGTTGCGAAAAATGCCTAAATACTACCAACTTTATTTAGCATTGTATTAAACTAAGAAAAGTAAAAATACACATTCAAAATGCTATATTTTTATTAAATTAAAATTAAACATTGCAGTTAGAATCATATTCTTTATTTTTTTCATATTTCTACGTGGATTTATTCATACGATTTAACATATCTTTCCTTGGTTTAAATGCAATGCATTCGCCATGCTCACCAATGCCTTGTTTAACATGCAAGATAGACGCTACATGATGGTTATAAATCTGTTACGCATGCAGCGTTAGACATTGGTAAGCATAGCAGTCCCTTTGAGGAATTTGCAATATATACATGTTTTAAGTGTCTCTTTTATGACTGACTGAAATATTAACCACAAACTCGTGTTTACGAATACTTGTTTTAAGATTATCAACTTTACATACAAACTTTTAAAGTTGTTTGTTGAATGTGAAAAAAACATAGTACGAGAAGAAGATGGAAATCTCCCATACTCGTATGCTGGCGAAGATGCCAATTTAGGCATTTTGACTTGCCATAATGCAATTTATTTTTAATACCCCAATACTGTAAAACGTCAACCGATCATGCCAAAGGCAAAAATCTGTGGCTAATCCTGCCAAAATGGCAGGAACTGAACCAAAATGGACGTTATGAAATCAAATGTCAGTCACACACACCAACACCAACACTCAATAAAAAGTGAGAGGAATAAGTTGCCGGCATCTGTCTTTTCATCCGATTACAGTGTGTGTGTCTCCGAGGTAAGAGTATATAGGTTTTTGTTAAGTCAGTGCGCTTCACCATCTTAGGCTACATCATCACCACTTAAATTCAGGTGGGATTGTAGCTAAGTGTTAGCTTAAAATAAAAAAAATTAAGAGTAAATAAGGCTTTTACTTCTATTTAAAATTAATAATTCATACGTAATATTATTTTATAATTCATACGTAACGTATATAAAAAACTTAGAGATTATATACTTCTTATTCACAATAACAAAATCACAAACTTAGAGTAAGGAAGCACAGACAACCAAAAAGTACAATATATATCAACGTATTAATTTACAGAACACCATTACAAGGGATCAAGGGCATCCAGGGATTACAACTCTCGTTTTATTAGAGATGAAGAGATCACAAACTACGTTTGTGGCTTAAGAGCAGATTTCTACTAGGCTTGTGTAACTCTTTACGAAACCGACTCACTGATCCGAATCACTGAAGTGATTCAAAAGATTCGGTTCAGTAACAACGTTTCAAATGCACCATTTGGATCTGGAACATTACTTTGCTCTGTGCTTATTTATTATAGAGCGACGCGTCTCTCTAGCGAGGTGAATGAACCTCAGTGAGAGAGTGGCGAGTGAGTGGGCAAAATAACTACAATCTACACAAGTCAGAAAGATATAGCAAATGAGAAGTGTATCACTCAACTCGTACAGATTTTCGCTATAGTTATTCATGCACGTAAAATGATCACTAAGGCGCTTACGTATTAAATAATATACGGTCATTTTTTGCATATAATGTTTGCATTAACAAGTTGTCATTTTACGTTGATCCGGCACTTGTCAAATTGTTTATGTTCGTTCGCGCCTGTTTACGAAAACATACTGAGTTCTGTTTAGGATTTCTTTGCGTAGTAATTAATGATTATTGTGACTTATTTTCTTCCTTTTCACCATAAATAATACGCCAGTTGGCCATAAATTAAGGACTAGCCACCAGTCTTAAGCCTGGATAAAGTATGAAGAAGGATCGATTTTATATACAACCTAACTACGGTACAAAATAAATAACAATAAAAGTCGATGATCCAAATGAGCCAAATGAAACATATCAGTGTTTCGGAACATTACAGTGATCGAGATGCAAATATTCAAATCGCAAAAATGATACACTTTGCCCACTTCCAATTTGTATATATTTAAAAATCTGTGCCAAAAGCTCAGCTTAATCTAGTAAACGCCATGTTCACGATCCATCAAGGCCACTGTGCTGAACGTAGCATAATATTTTTTTTATAGAATAGGATAATAAATGAGCACACAGTCCACCTGATGGTAAGTGGTTGCTGTGGCCCATAGATATCTACATCTATCCTCGATTATGAATCAAAATGCAGATGTGTTGTCATCCGTGAGGACTAAGGTGAAATGCCTCGTTACTAGTAAAAAGGGTTTCCTGTTCTCTACACTCACCATACGAAACACAGCAGCATTAAGCTACTATTTGACGCTGGTATTCTGTGAGATCGTGGTCCTTCCCCGATCGAGCCGATCCATTCTTGCTACAACTATACTACTAATATAACTGCAGCATGGCTTTACCACGTAAAATACACTATAATATATAAAAACACTATAGTGCGCGCATCCAGCGTGTTAGATGTAATCGAACGAATTAAATTAGCGCGCTTGTTTTATATGTTTAAAATGCCACCAGTTTTATCAAAAAGGGAGTTCTTCTGAGGTAGTCAGCAGCAGTAGAAGAGAGAACAAAATAGGAAGAAGTTTATTTATTAATTCTATTCTTTAAGCAGAACTTAATCTAATTGGTTAGGATAACTAGTAATCTTTGGAGGAATGCGTAAGCTATTTTTGTTAATAATATACTGTAAAAAATGTTTTACTTTCATCATTTATCATGTAGTGGAGAATTCGCGTAAAGATTTAATGATTGAAGGTAGATGACAGTTTAGCGAATGCATGCATCGTGATCAGTTGCGGCCCTAGGGCGGCGCGAGCGGTGCCATCGCACCGGGCGCCGTCATCGGGGGCGCCGAAATCAACCGAAACGCTACCACCGGGCACCGGTCACCAATTCACTCACTCTTATCCCTAACATTCTGTTTTGTTATCGCTAGTTAGAAAGTCAAAGCACGAGTATTTTGTTGCTTACAAGCCAGTAAGTGACTCTTCGGTAAAGGGACTTACTGGCCGCTTTCTTGATACAATTGTACAAGTGTTTGTCTTAGAATGAATAATTGTCGAGGTCAAGGGTACAATAATGGTGCGAACATGGCAGAAAAATTAAAGGTGTTCAAACCAGAATTTGATATATAATAATTAATTAATTAAACTTAATATTCTCGGGCATTTTCATTCCATGTGGCTGAAGTTATTACAGTATAGTAAAATAAAATGATGTGTCCTACCCAGTCTGAAGAGCACCTCCCAACCCCCCCTCAATTGCATGCACTATCCCCGTAGTCACCACTCCCAGTACCACCACAACCAACGCCACCACACTTGGGACGACACAGCACTCTCGATAATACGATACGTGTTTCGCCTCTACACGGGGCATCCACAGGTGAAGTAGTGTTAGCGGTGGCTGAAAGCTGAGTGAGCGGCAAGCCGAAACATTTGCTATTTATACAACTAGCTGATCAACGAGTTGTATAAATAGCAGCGTGTGGAGCACGTAGAGAGTGCTAGTAGTGGTGGTGATGGGATTAGGGGTGACGAAAATATTGTCAGCCTACTTCATCTGAGGATTCATCGTGTAGAGGCGAAACACATGTCATATTATCAAGGTTGGTGTCTCGTTCCTAGTGTGAGGGTGTTGAATGGGGTGGCGCTGGGAGTGGTGGTGTTGAGAATGGTGGTGCTGGAAATGGTGGTGAAGGGGATAGTGCACGCAACTGAGGAAGGGTGGGAGGTGGGTGCTCTTCAGACTGGGCAGGACACATCATTGTATTTTAATACGCGGAAACGAGAAAATTAAGTTATAACAACTTCAATATAATGGATTTCCACAAAGTAACGCCTGATACTTTTAATTTTTGAAAAAGTTAAGTATTTGGTCGTAGCTATCGACCAAAAACTAACGTGGAACTTTCACCTTAGTAACGTATGTATACGGCTAAAATTATTTTAGATCATTGCAGTCGTATGGTTGGGAACAACTGGGGTTTGGGTCCCTGTATGATTCGATGGCTGTACAGCAGCATAGTGAGGCCGATTATCACCTACGTCTCCATTGTCTGGTTTGATAATGCCAACCAAAAGACGACTGCGGACAGACTAAATAGTCTAGAAATTACTGCCTGCTCAATGGCTGGAGCGATGCGATCATCTCTTAATGCACTTCTGTGCCGTACGCCCCCTTGATATTTATTTAAACCAGGGGGTTCATGCTAATTTGTATAAGTTTCTTATATTTACTCGAACACTACACATTTAAATAATACTAGTTTTTACGGATTTTATCGCGTATATTTAACTATAAATACCCGACGTTTCGAGCGCTTTACAGCACCCATGGTCACGAAGGGGACTGAGATGTTCAACCGTAGACAGAGTGTTCAACGTCCAGATGTCATAGTTAACAGCGGTTACCATAGATTAAAATTTAACTTTTGTTCCGATCTACACAGTATTAACTTATGGTATCCTGAAGTCTTGCTGTTGTATGCTTGGGTTGGGATTTAATTTTATTTTTATATTATTTTTGATTATATTAGTTTTGATGGAAGCGCGCTTCAAGATGTAGCCAATCTTGTCAGTGACTCCTCTAACATATGGCAGTACAGCAGGTACCCGCCCGACTTTGGCCGGCTTCACTCGTTCACTGTGACTTAGGCGTGGGACCCGAAGCTTGTTGTCATGCAAAACTTGTTTGACGTGTTGGAGCTCGGCAGCTAGGTGTTTACTGTCACAGATCCCTCGTGTTCTCTGAAACAAAGATTTACCCACGGTAGCTAACTGTGAAGGATGGTGGTATGAATCACCGTTTAAATATCTATCTGTATGGGTCTTTTTTCTAAACACAGTATGCCTCAAAGTGTTATCAGGATTCCGAATTACTAACACATCTAGAAAAGCTAAATAATTGTTTGCCTCTAACTCCATTGTGAACTGAATTTTAGAATTTATAGAGTTAAGATGGTCTAAAAATGCAGTTACTTTATCTAAAGGTAGAGTTGTGAAAGAATGATGAATATGTCGGCGACAATGGGAGATATAGGATATAGGAGCCCATCGCCAAACCATCTACTTGCTTGTAGAACTCCTCCTTCCACAATAGGTCGCCAGATGTAAGGCAGTGTCTGAGTAATACTGCATATTCTATGGGCATGTTGTTTTCTTCCAGCCTTCTAGTTACAATTGAGATGCAGTCTTCAAAAGGTAAGCATGTAAGCAGTGACTGCACATCAAAACTGACCATAGTTTCATTGTCTGCCAGATGTAGGTCTTTAATCTCGCTGACAAAATGGTAGAAATCCTTTATATGTGCTCTTGTATGTCCCCTAAGCGTAAGCCTACCTGAGAGTATTTTCGCTAAGTGTTGAGCCAATCTGTAAGTTGGTGAATCGATTTGGACGTAATAGGACGTATCTCCCATTGTCAGCGACATATTCTTGGAAGACTTTGAGGAGAAATCCCTGCTTAATTCTCCCATAAATCCAAGATTATACAAGTACGCAGACGACACTTTCACAATTCTACCTTTAGATAAAGTAACTGCATTTTTAGACCATCTTAACTCTATAAATTCTAAAATTCAGTTCACAATGGAGTTAGAGGCAAACAATTCTTTAGCTTTTCTAGATGTGTAAAAGTATATAGTGGAAATACCCTCCAGAGAAGACTTGCTGAATGGACAGGTTGTCTGTGAGGTTGGTAACCTTATATGGTACACCGATGGGTCAAAAATGGACCACGACTTAGTCTTTATGACTTTATTCCATAGACTTGGAATTTATGGGAAATGCCGTAAATTCAATCTTAGTATGAATTAGGGTAGATTCACCTGTATTTTCCAGGCAGAAATTTTCGTTATACTTCAGTGTGCGGAAATCAATTTGCGAAACACTACGTTAATCACATAATCTATATTCTATATAAACAGTGGTAGAGCCACGCAGCAGCTTTGCTGTAGCACGTATGGGATGGGCCGGCTCAAACCGGGGTGGTACTACGACCTCACAGAATACCGGCGTGAAGTGGAAGCTGGGCTTCCACGTTTTGTCTGGTGAGTGCAGGTGGCCAGAGGCCCTATTCCCCTCTCCCCCATCAACATCGTAGCGGAATTAAATATTAGACTACCCCAGGAGGGTACCAGCACCACTGAAGAATCCCTTGCAGAGCATACACGACCAAGTTACTGCACTCCTGAGTGTGGGTGCTCAGGCTGCCCTGCGTATTTGGGTAGGGGTGCTAAATTCCGTTCAAGACTATAACTGCTCGGAGCAAACGGAACAACTAGACCAAGGGGACCCCTGCCACGCTATTCGTGAATTTCTGCAATATCAGGGGACTTCACTCAAATCTGAACGCCGTCCAGTACCATCTCGAGATGGCAAGGTCGGCTCTGCTCTTTCTGACCAAGACGCAGGTGTCCTTTTCGGCTGATGTCTCGTATCTCCCCTACCCGGGGTACAAACTGGAACATTCTTTTGTGCCTCGGACTGGAGTTTGCGTTTACGTCAGAGAGGACATCTGTTCTCGACGCCTCGGTAGTCTTGAAGGTCGGACCTGTCCATCCTTTGGCTACGCCTAGACAGTGACGACCATCCGCGCTTCTACGGCGATAGCAATAACGTTGAAACAGACCAACTCTTCCACCACGTCCAAATAGCTACAGATTCGTTGCTACAGCAGACTACAGCAGTTCCCCTCCGCAGAGATCGTGATCATCGGCGATTTTAACGCCCATCACGCCGAATGGCTTGGTTCACGTTTAACTTATCATGCGGAGAGATCTGTTCATGATTTTACCTTGGCATACGGTCTGACACAACTGGTTACTTCGCCTATGCGGATTTCAGATGTGGAGGATAACGTACCTTCCCTGTTGGACCTTCTGCTGACCTCTCATCCGGACGGATATCATATTTTCGTCGGCGCCCCTTTAGGCTCCTGGGACCATTGTCTTGTCCGGAGTGTGGTACCACTCACGCTGAAATCGCAGTTGCATTCTGCAGGCTGCTGCCGTGTTTGGCACTATAGGTCAGACGATTGGGCTAGGATCCTGTCTTTCTTTGAATCCTACCCTTGGGGGCGGGCTTGCTTCTCGCCGGAGGATCCCAACGTTGTTGCTGATTCTGTCACTGTTGCGGTACTTGAGGGGTATGGAACTTTTTATCCCTTCCTCTGTGGTGCCTATTGGAGGCAAATCTCAGTCACGGTTTGGTCGCTCCTGTAAAATAGCATCATGCTATAAGCAGGAGTGCTACCAAGCCTGGGCTGATGCATCA